GAGCTACAAAACAAGCAGAGTTTTGTCGGCATCTTCAGAAATTTCTTGATTTTCTTTTCGATCGTTTTATCGGTTCTAATGGCTTTTACAATTGTGCAAATCTCATTTTACTTTATTCGTTGTCCATACTGTACAGCGTTACTATAAAAATGTTTAAAAAATAATGATCTGCATGATAACAATGGAGCAGTTTCGGTTCAAATAGTTTATGAAATTTTCACAATACTTTCAGGAAATTGTTCTTATAAAAAGTATATTACATTAAAACAACGCCTGAAAAGTAGCTTTTTTACATTATAACATATTTTATCTCAATATGTATCAATTTTCATCTTCTACTTTTACGCAAATTATGAGCAGACGATGATGGCACTTGTAAAATTTTAGTGAAAACTCAAGCTTTTGAGAGCTCGATTCCGTTGAAATTACAAAAAATGTATAAAAAATGGTGATAGAATGAATTGTCAGTCACCCAACTATTCAAAGTTTTATGATATACGTAGAAAATCGTTTTTAATTATGAGTAAGAAGATCGACTTTCTTGTCGTCTCACGTCCATAAGGGACTGCATTCATTTCCTTTGTCAGCATGAAAATTTGGTTTTTGCGAGCAGCTTCTTTGTTCATGTTAAATATAATTGACAAAATATCGAGAATTTCTTAAAGTCATTTGAATAAAAACTTAAATGCATTACCCCGAAAAAATTTGTCGTGCAGATTGTTACATTCGTTATTGACTATAAATTAAAGGCTAACAAATCATTATTTGTAGGTTTTGCCACCCTCTCAAGATAAAAATAAACACTTTTCACTACGAACATACATTATTCAGTGAGCTATTCTACGTTACATTTCATTTGTTCGTTGTAAATGAAAATTTGCAAGCACTCTGTTTTAAACTAAAACAAATTTCATTTTAGCTTGTAGTCAGTAAGTTTAGCCTGCGGCACAGGGGTAGCCTTGGCTCCTTCGTTCCTCCTTCGCAAGGAGCGGATGACTAACTGCCTCTTTTCTTCGAAAAACGCGCGGTCTGCTTTGCATGTTATTTTACAAAAATAAACTAAATGCATTTTTCAGCTTTCACGTATATACTACGATATCGAACATTTCATAAGAAGTGTCAAACGCGATTGCGTCACGTAATAAAAAATTGAAAAATCTGTATTCTTCTCGCAAAGTAAAAAGTAGAAAAACACTTTCACAAATTGCATGAAAAAAAAATTCGTACGAATCACAAGCTCAAATGATATCTTACCTACTTAACTGCACGTCCATGTACAGTGGGCACTTGGCTATACAAAAGAAATAATGAAACGTTTATCAATCGCTGATCGTCAATGTCGATTGAAATTCCAATTACAAATGGGCGGTCGTTAGTGTCAAGTTTGTTGTAAGCCAGCACACGGCAAATGGACACGCGCGGCAGCAGCAGATAGTAAAAGTAGCGTGCTTGCATCGGGCCGATAATAAATAGCCGTAATCCCGGTCGAACATCCGTGACTCATTCGCATTGGGAAACATCAGAGACGCACGCGCATAAGCGGATGAACTATACGCTAGCCGCGTACGTTTACACGTACTGTTGTACTTATTTGCCGCTCGGATCGCGCGCAGCAGTCTGCGCTGCATGCGTACGCGCGGACAATACAAACTGCGATCGCGATATCGGAGATTTATCAGCCAGGCATTATGCATATATTCGACGATGGCCTATCTGATCTGCATAATGCACGGGCCGACGAACAAGCAGCGCGGAGGGAAGCAGGTTCGTTCAATTTTGAGCTACCGCAAAGGTTTCGTGAAATTCTTCATTACGAAAGCCAAGGAGAAAAGGGACAGCGTATAATTGGCCATACTGGGATGTCAACTCTGGCGGTCGGTCACTGGTAACTCAAGGCGAAGAGCGAAGCGCGTGCGCGTCCTAGAGAAGAAGCCACGCGTCGTTGAATGAGCTAATGAGAATGCAGTTTTCCGATAAGGCGCGAGCGACGAGCAAGATTCTGGCGAGTGATAGCGATGAGCGGAAAATATACGGCTGGCAGGCACGAAAATCGTCGCGGCGAACGAGTTCCGCCGAGGCGGCTGTATTATTGCGCGCGCGAGGGCTGCAGATTTTTAATAAATATCATGCATTCATAAATAGTCTTAGCCAGAACTATGGCCTGCGCTGCTGAGTGAATAATTGCATGCTTCAGGACATTTTCATGTAAGCTATTTATACACGGGCAGTTTATGTGCTGTACACAGATATAGAAGCAGCTAGGCGCAGTACTGCACCAGATATGTGTATATAGAAAATTCCGCAAAAATACGAGGCTAGCTATAGCGTGTCGCAAGTCGCCCTCTTACGTCTCCTCTTTTTTGCTACGAGATAGACGCGTTAAACCACGCGCCAAACTCTCTCACGTTCCCGGGGCAGCATGCCAAGCCTAATTAATTCTTGCATATCGCTCTTTTTGCTCTAACTTTGTCAAATTGACCAGTGCGGCCGTGCGTTGCTCACCAAAAGATGAAAACTGAGATTTTTGTCGCCCGCTTTGTTTACGTACGCAACCAGCAGCAGCGCAGCGATGATTATGTGCAGTATGGCATATCGCGTGAGCCAATGGGTTCGCGTGTAAGTCATAGTGTGCGCCAGCGATCACACCAGCTGCCGCGCTCTCCGCTGCCAGCCCACCTGACCGCGCTAAGAACAAATGCAATGACATTGCCGAGGCAAATTAATTAGCGCGTGACAGCTCTGCCGAGGTTGCGTTCAATGTTTGCCTCTCGCGTACGCTTTGTGCTCGCGGATAAACCGCACGTGCTATCGGCGGCCTAGTGATTGTTCTCCTCTTCATTACCGGCATTGCGAGTGGGCTTTATTTTTCGAAATGCTACTTCATTATGTGGCTATGGATTATTCGAATTCCGTTGTGTAAAGTTGCGTGCAATCAAGCTGGAAAATTGCTATCGGCAAACATCGTAAGTGAAAACGAGCTGCCGCGAGTAGAGCTATAGGCGAGCGCACTACTGCTAGCTACGCGTTCCAACATTGCGGTCTTATAGCAGTCCTCAAAACGAGTTCGCGTGCGCTCAACTAGAGAAAAAGAGAGAGAGAGAGAGAGAGAGAGAGAGAGAGAGAGTTTGTTCCTCGCGAGCGCTCGCCACCATCGCGAATCAGCCCCCTTTTACCAGCACAAATAGCCTCTAAGCCGCGATCGCACACGTTCGAGACACGCTATTCCTTTCGCCGCGGGAGTACAAAAAATCGAGTCCGCATGGAGAAAACAATCGCGGAATACGACGGCCCAGAGCGACGCCACTTTTTCCGAAGAGTTTCGTTCGCGAGAATTTTCAACGCCGGTGAAAGTTTGACTTATCGACGCGCGCGTCACCCGAGGGACACAAGTTTCGGTACCTTATTAGTATAATTCACGGCGGCGGCGTCCGCGCTATAAATTTCATCTACGCGAAAGCGAAAGCGCGAGCCCACGAATAAATTTACGTGCGGGGCTGCGAGCGGCAGCGGCGTCGTCGTCGTCCGCGCGTCGTCGACGCGCAAATCCCAACGCGAGACAACGCCGACTTAAAAACCACGGAGAGTTATGGTCTGCGTATATAGTTGGCGCGCGCTCGAGGCAACCGAGCAACGCGCGCGTGCATGCACGCTGCGCGGCTCGAAATCATTTTTCCGTTGTTTTATGCGCGAGATTTATTGGCTTTTTCAACGAGGAGTACGTTTATGATGGATACGGGCAAAATACAAGTTGTTCATGAGCTTTGTGAGAACGCGCTGCGCGGGAAACGTTGATGAAACGGATAAAATGATCGAAAAATTGTCTAACCACAACTGGACTCTATCTACTTAATTGCAACGGATAATTTTTTACAGCCTTGCGAGCTTGCTTAAAAAGAAAATACAAAAAAATGAAGGGCTAATATTATATATATATATATAATATTCCATATAATAGGCTGAGGATAAAAGCAGTACAGATAATCCTTAACTAGATGTCGAAAGATATAAAGGCGGAAAGTAAATGAGACGTAGCAGTTTGTAAGAATCGATGGTACAATCAGAGTTGCTGTTCCTACTGCTGCACTGGGCAATTGCACTGCAAGATCTCACTTAGCAATAAACTCATTGGTTTACAACCTCCGGCGGCGAGACTGGGCTTATCTGTGAACCATAGGCCCCAGCGCAACATCATTTCATCGCACTGACGATAAGCTGCAGCCGACATAAACTCAAACCCAATATAAATGGCCCCGGGGGTAAAACGGATGCCATGTAGTAGCCGCCGGCCGATCGGACACTGATAAGATGCGTCGCCCGGTGACAAAGGGCCCTGGATACGCCCACGCGCCCAAGATCGCCACCACCACGCAGGCGGGGGCGTGCATATTAAAATCGGACCACGGCAGCAGCCAACCTGCCTTTTCTCTTTCTCCCGTTTTATTTTATCTCGTTTTGGCTTTTGCCTCGTTCGCCAAAACTCGAAGAGACGACTTCTTCCGCTTGAAGCTTGTTTATCGCCACCATAGGTGCGCTTCGAGATCTTTACCATATCGGCAGAGATCTATATTGAACCGTTCAGAGAGATTGTCATTTAATTATTTCACTTTTGGCATTTTACGGGTATCACCGACCGAGTGCAACTTATTTGTACCTTATTTATAACAAACCTTCAGTAATTTCATGCTACTTAAGGTCATTGATCAAATTAATAGAAACAAATAATTTAATTATCTTTCGAACATAAATTTTCCATTAAAAATCTATCACGTGAAAGAAATGGTATGATTTCATTAATTGTCAGCTATTCATTGTAGAAGAGCCAATTTGAAAGCCTATGTGCTGCCATCTATATTCGACAATGAAAGAAGTTCTATCGAAACTCGAAACCGCAAATCGGAAACTGCTCTGTCACCTGGTGCCATCTATAGGAAATCCGGGATTTAGATTCTAGATATTTCCTGCTGCTTTACCATCCAATGCACTGTCACACAGCGCCCCAAGCCAAGCCAACATAACAAAAATGAACGCCTAGGTGTAAACACAGTGAGAACGCATAGCTTTTTTTAATTGTAAGCAACAAAGTGTACACGTATTTATTTTTCATGCAGTATTTCTTTAATTATCACGATGTTCCCTCTAAGCACACAAAAGAAACACTGGCTATTTAGTGACGAAAATGATATCGCATGTCTACGAGAAAAAACCAACGCTACCTTTATTGCTAAGCATGGCGCAAATATCTCTGTAAGTTTAATAATTATTATTTCCACGTTTTTTATAATATTTGTATTATTTTATATAAACATTATTTTATAATATTTGTATCTTTGGCATGTATCAACTTTTTTAAAACTTGTATACTATGGAAAAGCTTAGAAGTTATGTCATTATAAACACCAACATTATTTATTTATTTATTTATTTTTCTTTAATTCAGCCAGAAAAGAAAGAAAAACACTTCCTGTCTGTAGCGGAAGAGAGGGTTCTTCAAAGATTTTACGAATCTCAGTTAAAGGAATTTTGCAAAAGATTCGCTCCACCTATGCCGAAAGCAACCATTGCTACTGCGGTACATTACTTTAAAAGATTTTATCTGGGAAACAGTGTCATGGACTATCATCCAAAGGAAATATTAGTCACATGTGTATATTTAGCATGCAAGGTACATATTCTTTCAAAGTTTGTTATATTTACATTGAAAATCAAATTAAATTAAAAATTTGGTACTGCAGGTCGATGAATTCAATGTATCTATATCGCAGTTTGTTTCAAATATTATGGGAGATAGAGAGAAAGCTTCTGATATCATATTGAATAATGAACTTCTGTTGATGCAACAATTAAATTACAATTTAACCGTCCATAATCCCTACAGGCCAGTAGAAGGGCTTCTTATAGACATAAAGGTATTAAACTTGTTATATTCATTGATAGATGACTTTTTTCTATTATTATAAAATAAAATATTTTGTAATGTGTAGACTAGGTATAAAGGAGTAGATAATCCAGAAATCCTAAGGACATTCATCGATGACTTTTTAGAAAAAGTATTTCTTACAGACAGTGTTTTACTTTATGCACCTAGTCAGATTGCTTTGGCAGCAACGTTACATGCAGCATCAAGTATAAATGCTAATTTGGACAATTATGTGACAGAAATTTTATTTTCTGAACAACATTTACCAGCAATAATTGAAGCTGTTAGAAGTGAGTTTAAGATTTTTTCTTTACTCCGATGACATATGTCCTTTTACCAAATTTTTTTCTAATTAATACTTTTCTTTCCAGAAATCAGATCGATGGCTAAATGTGTAGAAGTTCCAGCGAGAGATTTGGTGAAGAAATTGGAGAAAAAATTGGACGCATGCCGAAATCAAGATAATAATCCCGACTGTGAAAGGTAAATTAAATTAGGAATATAGGGTTTAATTCAAAACATATATAAGTATATGAATGTATGAAAAAACATTTGGTTGTAGATATAAGCAACGGATGCAAGAAATGTTCGATGAAGACGATTACCTGGATGATCAGCAGAAGTATGCCAAACTAATTATGGACCAAAATGAACGAGATGAAACGATTTTAGGAATCAGAGCAATATCACCTGCATCAAAATAAATTAGAAATATTGACGAGTATTTATTACTCCATTATTTTTTTAATGAATAATAACAATGTTAAACTTTTCAAATATCGTTTTTATATGAAAGATATCAGTTCATTATAATATCGCTTAGTATTAAGTTCAATTTTGTAAAAATATTTATCACAGTGTAAAAAATGTTTTTGAAAAAATATTTAATTTTTTAATTTCGAATTCTTTTTCATTGATGTATAACATTAATATCCATTAATCAATATCGATAAACAGTAGAAAATTAAAAGTACACTTTGCCATTCATTGGGAGTTTTGGTGCCTATAATCTAATCTTTGAGATAAATTAAAATTGGGCTGACTAGCAGAATTATTGTGAAAAACCTCTGCGTGCTGTCCGTTTTGGAGATTGCTCGAAAGTGGCCGAATTACCGGTAGAGTTGGCGAAATTGCTAATGGAGAAAAATGCGACGGTAATACTGAAGTCCCCGCTTGTGGATGTCCAGAATAATTGAAAAACCTTCAATAATAAGATTCGATACTTGCAAGATTGGACATAAAATGAAATATATTTGAATAACGAGCAAAATTACCATAATCGATCGCCGACAAATATTGGTCTTGGAGCATGTATACCAAGACTGGAATAATATTGTTGAGCCAGTAATTCCACATCATTGGTGTACTTTCGTTTCCACTTTGTTCGTCTGTTTTGGAACCATATTTTTATCTGAAAAAAATAAACTAATTAACCTGTTACGTAATAGTGAATACTTGTGAAGTGAAGTGAACTAGTGAACTAGTGAAACTATTCCAACGTACTAAGCACTGGGCAAATCTTATCGTTTTCAAACGCAGGGCAATATATAGTCGCTTAAGAATTAAGTTGGGACATTTACGATAAATAAATAAACTTTTGCAATTTTACCGACCGCTCGACTCTTCTATAACATGAAGATTTCTGATGATATGGCCTCGGTAGCGCAGTAGGCAGCGCGTAAGTCTCATAATCTTAAGGTCGTGAGTTCGATCCTCACCCGGGGCAATTTTTTTGCTTTATTAATAAACATTGTAAATATTTTCAGTATCAAATCTATTCCTCCTACGGCAATATTACTAAAGTTTTCTGTTGGTTTCCTTTTTAAAAGCAATAAGTAGTTCCGTCAGGACTATCATTAGACTGCTAAATATTCTCTAAGTCGACGATACGGACAATTAATACTTGGGCATAAAGTCCACGGTGGCGTTTTGGCACGCATAGTTCCGGAGCGACGAAAGAGTGCACTTAGTCGTCGAAAAAAAGAGAGGAGTAGAAGAGCGCGGAGTAGATGGAGAGGGCGAAAAATCTCAAAGGGAGCCAAATGGACGGAGCGCAATATATCCTAATTAAAAAATCGACGCCTCTCCGGTCTGTCGCCTCGCGCGCGGCTCGTTAAGTCAGAGAAATATTGTGACATTTATGCCCACGACCCGTGTCTCGTTGCTCTGATCTGTCGGGCTGCCTGCCCCCCTTTCTCCCGCAGATTGCTCGCCCGTTGACAATTAAGCTCGCGCGACCCCTTTGATTCCGCTGCCTGCTATCTTTTTGCGCGAGTCAGGCTTCTAGTTGACTCCCGGATTGTTTATTTATGCCAGGTCCACGCACAAATTAGCGATATTTTTGGAGGTAAGCACTCTTGTCGGGTGAGAATTACACGAGTCGGCTGGTCTCTAACATGCCGCGCATGCACAATCCAGTCCAATTAACTTCCTCTCCCCCGGTTTCTTTTGCGCTCAAAAATAATCTGCCGTATTTTTCGGCGCGAGCTCCGCGCGGTAATGAAGAAATCACTTTGAGGAATTGTTCATTAACTAGTTGTCTGCTGCATGGGGGACGGGCGCCGTAGCCGATCGCGCAGGTATACGTGCAAAAACGCGAGCTCTTTCGTCGCGGCGAAGAGGTGCTAATTGGTCTCCGCCAAGTCGGGGCTCGCGGGCGCCTCTGTTCCGTGGCGCCTGCACATGTGGACGCTCGCGCCCCATAACTCAACGAGCCGGCGACGACGTCGTCGCACGCTAACCTTTTTCAGGTGGCGAGAAGCCGGCTGCCCGCGGTTTTTCTAATTGGACTTCCGCGTGCGCCGAGCGAGCTCTTTAATTTACATGCTATCGTTCGCTGAACTGCTCCCCTCGCTTCGCTCCCGCTCGCTCGCTCTCTCCGGGGACTGGGCGCGCACGTGGTTTTTTTCTTACAGCAGGCGAACTAATGAAGACTGCTGGGAAGGCTGAATTATTCAGGCTTTATCCCGGGTCGATATGTACCTGGGTCTCGGTGAGCTTGAGGGCTTTGCTGAGCTGCAGTCTCTTGGCGACGCTCAGGTACTTGTTCCTCTCGAACTCGGCCTCCAGCGACTTGATCTGAGTGGCCGTGAAGGCGGTGCGCGGACGCTTTTTGCGCTCGTCGTCGCTCGCCGCGCTGGAGCTGCGCTCCGGCAGCTCCTCGCGATCCTCGCACAACGCCGACGTCGAGTTGGCTCCGTAGCTGCTCGTGCAGGCCTCTGCAATCGGACATGAGGATGAAACTGAGCTCTCGAGAGCTTGCCTCGCGCAGGAGCGAATCGGGAAGAGCGAGGTATTCGCGCGAGGCATCTCCATTAATCAGCGAATAATTGGGGAGACAAGTTCGGCGTAACTCGCGCGCGCGCTCGCGGCAATTAGCTAAGCTGGAAGCAGGCGTGCGCGCGGCGGCTCCGCGTTCTATTCTCGCTCGCTCGACTCGTCTCTCTCTCTCTCTCTCTCTTTCTCTCTCCCTCTCTCTCTCTTCGCCTCGGTTAATTTTTTTGTAGCCGCACTTCTTTTCTCGGAGCTCGTTCGTCAATGCTCGCGTGAGCGCGCGCGAAAGAGGAGGTGGGATTTGCGGCGACAACAACGATCGAGAGAAGCTCACCCGTTCGCTCGACTCCATTTAGCCCGTGTCGGCGCGAGTAGGTTTTTGTTAATTTCGGTCGAGCCACGTCGAGCTGCAAATCGAACGCCACGAGAGTACGCAGCGGTCGGTCGCGCGGCTCGCGCGCCAGTGACACGCCTCAGGTGGCGGTGCTCGTCGTCGCAATAAATATCCCGGTAAAAACTATTCGTGGCCCGAGAGAGGAGGAGCGCGAGACGCTGCTCGCGAAACCGTTTACCGACTACTAATTGTCAGATGCCGACGTAATTGCCCCTGCGCGCGAGCTAAAACGGTAACACCCTTACTCACTCGCTGTAATCGGCCGATCGCTCATTGCGGGCTCTACTACGTATTCTGCCTTTTGTCGCGATTTACGGGCTGCGAGCTTCCATGCGACTCACCGAGTAATTTCGAATTGGCCCAAATTTACGAGCGGGCAGGCAAGGAGTTCGTCGCCGATCGTACCGTTCGCTTAGATAAACTCGGAAATATCGAAAGCGCACTTCCAATCGCTGTTGACCCGTGACTTCGACAAATTCAAACGTTTCCGACCCGCAGTGCGACACAAAAATAAACTTCGTTTACACTCGAAAGTGCAAACGACTGTCTGCATGCTTTGACATCTCTGAGACTGCTTTCAGAAAAAAAGCTCATTAGAAGCGTTGAAAAACAGTTTCGAAAATAAGCCGAGTGCCTACTTACGGACAGTTCACTAAATTAACCCAACGAAATTCATGCGACAACGCAATTCAGAATGATAATTTGTATGAAATGCGGGAAATAGGTAAATAGAGCGGCGCACGATCGTCGAGTGAAATATTGGAGACTGGTAAGAATTATGTCGTGGATAGCGACAGGACGTGCCTCTCAAAGTCGTTCAAGCATCACGGGCCGCGCGGTAGAAGGTCCACAAGCCCCATATCCCAGCGGTTGGCCATTTCTCAAAGCACGAGCAGCAGGATGCGGCCTTCGCGGCCGTTCTATCCGTACACGGTGTACAACGAGGGAGAGCGCGAGAGCGAGAGTAGCTTGCAGCAAAAAGATCAGTTGAAGTCGATGAAGCAATCAAGCTCGCGCCGAAATTGGCCTCGTGTCGTTTGTTAGGTGAGCTTTTTACCGCGCGGCAGTGAGCGCCTGAAGAGATGACGAATGACCGGATAATTAGGAGCTTTCAAGCTCTGCCCGCGACACGCCTACTGCTACACCTATAAATATAAACAACATTTCCGAGGCGCTGCTGCCGCCCGGTGGGGGGCAGGGGGGAGGGGAGAGATTGATGGGGCTGGCAATTCTTACGCGCGGCTAATCGAGCCGCCCCGCGACCAAAGCCGTGCGTCGCATCCGAACGGCGGCAGCACATTCAGACTTGACCGTCCATTTGCTTTTGCCTTTAAATTGTTTCTTAGGCGTATTTTCATGCTAACAGATAATACGTTTCAGCCCGAGTAATGTTGCGCGAGTACTCAAGTCGCCGTCGCTGCACTTTACTTCTAACGAGACCAGACAAAGAGGCTTCGTCCAATTAAGCTTCATTTTACGGCTTCTGCTAGCACACGAATTCGAATTTGAAATAGAATGCTCGAAATGCTTCTGATTCAATAATGACAGTGGACATATTTGCATAGGATTGTTTGTGCTTAACACTTTTCTCAAAACAATTTGCTTTCAAGAAGCACAGGTTTCCGATGCTACACGGCGCACCATTCTGGTGCCTTTCTAAAACGGCCCTCGACAGCTATCAGACCCATTATCGCAAAAGAAGCTTCGCCAGCAGACAGACGGCTCAGACAGATAATTCAAAGACGCAACGCGGCCGCTTCCCCGATCCATCAAGCCGTTTTTCCGAATCCCTCGCCTGCCTCCCGGGCAACGATAAATCGAAAAGTAATTAACCGGACGTTCTCGCGTGGCTCGGCCAGTGGCAAGATTTACGCGACGCGTTGACGGCTTTGTAGTCGAAACGCGCGGCGCGCTGCGCTCTTCCCTCGGTCTAGCTCGCTGCGCGAAGGCTCCTTGTCGCGTAAAATTTTCGGCCTCTTGCCGCGCGGATGGCCCGATTTATGACCTCCGGCCAGTCGCGCGCGCGCGCCCCGCGAGGCAAATTAGTCGGCTGGCTGAGTTTTTCGCCTTGTCGCACGCGCCACCGCCGCGCTATTTTTGTTGTGACACTTTGATGCGGCGCGCGGCTTTGTTCGCCGCCGATTGGCCTTTGTTCCGAGAGAGTTTGATTGGTGGCTCGTTCAGCTTTCGCAATCCGAAGTTGGATCCTCATTAGACGATAGTTAACAAGAGAAATGGCTTGCTTTACCTTCGCAGAATGCACCGAAACTGGCAAACAATGACTATCGGCTGGGAGTTAAGCTCCAGCTAATTGGGCGAACGAGTTGGCTTCCAACTGTACAATGTTATCAATAGCGGATATAATTTCAGTGCCCAGTTAAGCGACGAGTGATTCCAGAAAGCCGGCGACTTCGGCAAACAATGTCGCAGCTCGGCACTTTGCTCACGACGCAAGTAGGCGTCGCGTATAGCCGTATTTCTATATAGCGAAATTAGCGAGGAAGAGGAAAGCGAGCGCCACAGATAAATAGTAAACGGGGCCAGAACATTGAGTGGGCGTGGGCCACTCGCAGGAAGTCGTGGATCAAAGTTGCCGAGCAACCCTCTGCCCCATCTCCGCGCCCGCCGTGGCGCGTTACTTTTAATTGAGATTTCGTCGGAGAGGCAAATTATAACGTTCCCGCGTCAGCTTATCGTCGCGCACACGCTGACTTCCTCGCTTGGCTGATAATGCCCGCCGCGTGCGTAATGCGCTATGCTACGTGTTTAATTCATCGTCCGGAAATTCATTTGAGCGATGCGCGCTCGTTAAGATTGCCGTTCGAGTTGGAAACTATGTTGACGATAGAGGCGCAGAGACGTCATAACTTTGGTAATAGTAAAGCAATGAAGTTGAGTTTGAGCTGCGCGCGCGGCCAACTTGATTGCTGCATAGTTTCGGCACTTTGATTTATCGTAAAACGTACCGTAATGAATTTCCGGATCCGGTGACGTTGAACACCCCATGTCCGACTCGTGGAATTCAATCTCTTCCGAAATCATCACGGATGAGTCAGGGTGGACTATCAGCGACTCCTGCTCGTCAGCTGCAATATGTTTTTCGCCTTGTTCATTCGCGCAACTGCCTCGCAGTTGGGGCGCGCTCAAATTATTAACTCACGCATTGTTTGGCTATACGCACCATTTGAGCAGGCCAAGCGAGCAGGGGGCATCGTCGAATAGACATTTGAATAAAACTCCACTTTGTCGTAACTACTGTCGCGCGCACAAACGAGCTTGTTGCATGGCGCCAGCAGTCTCTCGATACTGAAGGAAACTTTGGGAACGTCCGTTCGGTAGCTCTTGGTCGTGTCCTCGGCAACTCGGTCGCTGTCCTCCGACATAGTTCACAATCACTTCGCAAGGTCGCCAAGCACTCGCAAAGCTTGCGGACGATAAGCGCAAGGACAAAGCTGCGCTGCGTTCGCCAGTTCGCAAATGGTCCCCTCGGCAGACTGAGTCGTCGTCGGGATTCACTCGAGTTTATTTCTTTTTCAGCTGGTCTGTGGGCCGAGGAGGAGCCACGTGCTCGGTGCGTCACTGGGTTCCCGGCCAATCGGCCAAGATTTTGGGCGGTACTTGGCATCATCGCGCAGGCAGTCGGTGCAGCAGCCGTCGCCCCGTAATGATCTCGTATGGGGCTGCTTGTTCCGCGCGCGGCGCCGCCGCCGACTCCCTACGATATCTCCCTAAACGCTCGGTAACGAGCTGCCCATAAATTCGTGTCTCCGCTCTGCTCTCTGTCTGCCCGATTAATAACCATTTACACGTGCTCCACTCTCCAACCAACTTCACTCCTGGGAATCTTCTGACTTTATACTTTTTTTCGCGGCCCTTATTTCCAACTCTCGGCGTCTATGAGAAAGCCGATTCGAAAATGCGATCAGCAAGCTTTCGTTGTGAACGATTTTATATCTCGTTCAAGTAACATATTTGCTTATACCAGAAGCTGTCCAATGTTTCATCGTTCATTGACTAACATGTCGTGAATGGAAAAAACTAGTTTTGACAGTTTGTTAAAAACTATTAATTTTAGTTGAGCATTAAAAGCTTCTACTGTTGATTTACGACACGCAATTACGATACGATTCACATACAAAATATGAATGCAATTAGAACAAAGATGCAATAAGAGATCGAGCATACCGCATCGATCGAAATATGTTAATCTGACAACTGAGATATGCAAGCATAAGTAATTATATATATATACTTAGCGCTTACTTCAGATGAGTCGAGTAACCGCAATGGTAGTTTCGAGTCAAGAAAAGTGATAATTAAGCACTGGCTGCCGAGGCCGTAAGGTTATATAAATAGGCGTCGAAAGTCGCTGCGTCAATGTATCGTAAATGATGAATGGAAGGGCGGAGAGCTTTCGGTGCTTTTTCACAGCTTTCCTCTCCTTTTTATTAATAGCCATCTTAGGCAATGACAACTTACTTGGAACTTCTTTTTTGACAAATCAAATCGCTTAATGAGTTCAATGTATTTTAATTGTACTAAGCAAGTTTTTTCAAGAATTTCCAGAGGAATGTTAATATTTTATCATTTTAATTAATATTTTTCCACTTGTATAATTGTTTATAACTTAATATTAACCATTTTAGGTTTGTTGTAAGATATGTATAGCAAAAAAACCAAAGTTCTGATAAATTTTCTTTTATTTTGCACCAATAAAGAATTAGATAAATGTATGATCTATTCTTAAATTGCGTAAATTTAAAATTATAATAATTTTCAGTGCAGTGTCGATGTTTTAACTTAATTACGTAAACGATGCATTAAAAGTATAACTCCACGGGTTGCTGCAACTACAGTCTATGCAATTATTTTTCATAATTCTTTCAAATAATGTAGCAGTGACAAAAACCTATCAACGATACTGCTAAAAATTATGTAAAAATTTGCATCATATTGTAACAATTATTTTTACATATTTTGCTTCTCATTGAAATAAATTACAGTACATACTGTGTATAAACTTAAAATTAAAATGTGATACTAAGCAACACCTTCAAGCATATAAGACGGTCTTTGCAGTATTCAACATTTGTAACACAAAAACAAAATAAATTTTTCTATCATCAAAATAATATTTCAAATAGTGAATTAATTTATCATTTAAATGACAATAAAACGATAACTATGTTTTTCGTACGGTAAGCAAAATGTATATTTTATGTAAAAAAAAAAAAAGAAAATTAATTTCACCATATTTTTTTCCTTATTAAAATGAAGATTTACATTTGTTGCGTCGAATTACCATTCCACGTATTATTTTCGTCATTGTCATCATCTCCAGAATGAAGGGTATGTATGTTACCACGAGCTCTAATTTTCGATGTTCCTTGTCCTCCAAGTCTCCTATAAAGAAATGATTTTAAAAACGTAATTTGTAAACAATCAATTTTCACTATGCAATTAAAAGACAGACCTTGCGCCAATGTTTCCAAGTCGTCCAAATGCTGGAAAAGCATTGTTAGATGGTGGGATCCCTTGATTTCTGTTTGCATTGTTACTATCATTTGATTCATCTCCACGAGGTCTACCAGTTAAATATCCCATAACATAGTTGTATATGCTGACTACTGGTGCAAGAAGTGTCCATAAGAACTGTGAAAAGATACCTCCTCCATCAGTTGATTTTATAACAGACGATGGATTGCTCTAGAATATAACGCAATTACAAAATTATTCTACTACTTGTAGAAGAAAAGTAGATTTATTAATAAAATATGACATAACGTACCGACTTTATTGGTAAGATTAAAATAACAGATGAAGGAACTAGTTCTAATTCTGTTAAAGTTTTACGATCATCATTAGAACTGAAATCGCGTCTTGGGAAGAATGCAGACATAGAAAAATGCTTAAATGGTATCTGAACGTTTTGAATAACGTATGCTCTCAGATTTCCAAGAGTATCCGTTGCTTGGAACGTTTGAGTCGCACTTTCACCAGTTGGCAATTTGAACTGTATTCGAGCTTTTGACATGTCACAGGTAGGTGCTTGAGCTTTAGCTTGGGCTCTAACTTGCGCTTCTTCTTGAACTTTCTGTTGTTGAGCCACTGTTTCCTAAAATTTATCTTAAAAAATTGAAGATACTAACAAAAATAATTAATTTACAAACGATAAAAAATAGTCAATACCTGTTGATGCATTTCAAACCTTTTCTTTCTCTCTAACTTATCCTCTTCTATTTGTTTCAAAATTTTTTCTCTTGCAGCAGCTTCGGCTGCCTTTTCCTTCATTATTTCTGAATATGCTTCTTTGATTTCGTTTTCTTGCTGCTGCTGACGTAATTTTTGCACATCTCTTCCTACTTTTCTTCTTTCTATTTCCCTCTCTCGTTCTTTTTGTTCCTCTTCTTCTGCTTTCTTTTTATTTTGCAGTTCAATTAGCTCTCTTGCTCTTTTAAGTTTTTCCTTAAAATTAAATTTATTATAATTGATAATATGTTTACTTTAATCAATTGTAAAGAAATTTTAACTTTAATATAGCCTATAACACAAAAGTTGCGTTATAGGTTCTACTACTGCTACATTGTTACTCTCAGATCTTACTGCTTGGTTGAAACTTGTAGAGTCTGCTGAATTATTTATTACTATACTTGCTCCTTGCGTACTAGTAGAGGATTGTGTCGATTGTTCAGAATTTATTAAACTTGCTGAAGGATCTATTGTCTGTGGCTTAGCTTTTAATACTATTGAATCAATTTTTGATGCTAAGTCATTTGACGATAGCTTATTACCAATAATTTCCAGTGGTGCACCATTCTCACCAATGAAAAATATTGACGGAACGGGAACCAATTGATCTGTTGATATATGACAAATTGAATTAATATTCAATACTTTGTCAATGAAATATAATTTAATATTTACATACACTAATATAGTTGCAAGTGATTTTTGAAAATCTCAATTTACATTAAGCAAACAATACTGTTGCCATACTGTTTAAAAGAATAAGTTAGTTGAAGTGAAATATATACTTACAAATCTGTGCAAAAAATGTATAATTTTCAGAGTCGCTCTGAAGTTTGATAACAACAAATTTGTCTTCTTCTAAACGCGATGACACTTCTACAGAATCCAATGTTTTTGCTACTTCTTGTGAAACTTCGTCTTTACCTTTAGTTAAAAAAAGATTATTGAAATAGATTACCACATTTAACGATATATATCATGTAGTGGGTAACATATTCAATAAAGCAAATATAAATTACGTATTTTACAATCAAATTTTGCATGTCATGACATGCACTTAACCTTTAAGCAGAGTAACAAACCTTCCACAAAAACAACAAATATAGCTTTCTTTGATTTAGATGCTGCTATAGCTTCAGGAATACTTCCTTGGAACCACTTCATTTTTTTAATGAATAACGTAAACTTTACAATTTTTATCAACAATTTTCCAGATTTTTCTAAATGACGTTGGTAATAACGAATGTTTCGGGGCACTATGAATTTGATGAATTCAACATGAAGTTCAACTCTCTAGGCTATGTATATATGATGACGTTATATGCTGGGCAACTCTTGTAATTTGAACTTTGTTAATAATTGAACAGAACAGCTGTGTACTAGACCTTAGCTCTTAGCCATATGTTGGCGATTCTAGCGCTTGTCGCTTATCACGGATGAAAATTATGAATTGCAGTATCTATAAACTGAAAGCATTGATTCGTGAGACGTTTAATATTTTGTTGATTTAATAATTGATTATTTTACATATATTGTTTATCAAGATTTTAAGTTGCAATAAGTGCGAATTATCGCGCATAGAAAACATGTATGCAAACTTGCAGGAATCCTAACAAGTTATAAATAAAATCTGACGAATCAACAAAGATTATTTAAATTATTATACTTTCAAATAGCAACTACGCGTTATGCATACATTGGCATGCTTGCATAAAGTAGAGTTATGAATGTTATGATATTCGATTATAAAAAAGTATAAGAAACAAGGAACACAGAACTGAAGAACTGCTCAAACCCAGATTCCAGATCCAGTGCCGTAACTAGTGCTATAAACAAGAATGTTTGGACGTACAATGTAATATAGTATCTGATCTGTGCACGTGTGATTATTTATATTTTTCAACCTGTTAAAATTGTTTAAACATCTTTGGCAATTATGTCGCAGTTAATCAATAGAGGTGAGCATCAGTTTTATTTCTTTATCTTTTATTTATATTATTTATCATAGCAGAAGTGCTTATGAAAACCGTATAGTTCCTCTGCACAGTCGACGATTCTTCCACGCATAAGGCTGTATTAAAATATTAACGTAACAAAAGCTGAGATGTTTTTTGAAAAACTTTTATATACCCAATATGCTAAGATATTTTCTAATAATCATCAATAGTAATGACACGTACATAATATTTCACTTAACGAAATAAAAAGGCTATATTCTAACCTTCAACTACGGCGACAACAATTACGACAATTACTTAATATTGTATGTCCGAAGACCTAATGAACAATAAATGAAAGCTAGATACAAACTGAATAAGTTGAACAAAAGCATTCATTCAATTGTATCGTAAATAGATATTACACTTTACCTTTCTAAATATTCTTGAATTTCTTAAAAAATATCTCTTGAGGTACTCATCATAATATGTAAAAAAATGTAGATTTTTAACCGAGTCAACTTAAAGAGTTGCGAAAATTTTAAATTAAAAATGTTGTTAAGAATAAATTGATATTATTCCCATTATATTTTTAGTTTATAATGGCTACAAATCGCTACGTCTAAATCTACGTAATGATTTTATTTATTATCAAATGGTTATTAAACGTGTATGACCAGATGATTATTAAAAAATACTATTTAATATTCATTGAAACAAATATGAAAATATTTGTTTTTACTTTTTTGGTTGATAAGTGATATATTATTTATTTTTTAATTATTTCCACTGTGTAAAAGTTGTTTTTTTGCTAGAGAATAACATATGACGAATTGATGTCCTGTTGAAATACATTTTAAGGCTTGAGGTTGTATTGAATTGTTAACTGTTCCATATTCCACTTCTCTTGTGTGATTGTGTGGAATGCTGTGGGAACAAAATCGTTGTAATGGCGTAGTGCGTCTGTCCTTGCATGTTTTCCATTCTCACGATATATAGATTTTTGTTTGTTTTAACGTAGATTTTTTATACATTATTTAATAACTCCTAGATTAATCAAATCAACGAATTAAGATTATCGTAATGTACGATTCTAGTGCTGAGGAAATAAGAAATTATCAACGTATTTTAACTTGAAGTCACGAGTGCGTCGCGTCACTGATTCATTCTTAGGAAATGGGAGTGAATAATACAAATAAAAAGTGATAATCATACACCTGTTGGTTACAAAGCTTTTAATCTTGTTGATAATTTTACTACATTCCAACGTGAAACGGTCAAGTAGATACTTTGATAAAATTTATACATGGCTTGTCCAAGTCCACAGTCTGTGATTGTTTAACATTGTGATGCCAAGGCAAAATAAACAATGAAGGTAACTGTGTGCTTTGACCATATAAGGGTAGTAGTGCCTTGTGGCGATGGCAGTCTTCTTGTCAAAGACCTCATGCATGAGGCAATACTCCGTTACAAGAAAGCTACTGGGAAGAATGACAGTACTTTGACCATTAACAGTTTGTCTTCTTTAACTACCGGTGGAATATTGGATCCAGATGATAAATTATGTGATGTGGCTGATGATAGAGAACAAATAGTTGCTCACTTTGTTGGATCTGATGTATCTCACGCAGGAGGTGATGGAGCAAGCTCTGTTGGAACAAACAGTCCTGATTTCTTTCACAGAGAGCACAAAGATCACCATCGCATGTATGCAAGTAGATCTACTGGTAATATAAAAAGAGAAAGCGCCAAAAGATCATCTATGCATGTACTTTCAACGAGAGAACCTTGTATGACAACTTACTCTGCATTGTCTTTACCACGTGAATCAAGGCGCAAAGAGCCACTAGGTCAAGATGCAAAAGCTTTATATGAAATACCAAATATAAAGCCAGATCTCCTTGATCAAGGAGAAATTTGTGAAATTCTTATAAAAAATAAAACAGGACCTTTAGGATTAAATGTTGTGCCTTGTTACGATTTATCAGGTAATGATCAAGGTCTCAGAGTAGAAGGAATAGAGCCTAATGGTCGAATAGCTAAAGATGGTCAAATAGATTTACATGACAAGATTATCAAAATAAATGGACACAATTTACTTAGAATACCTTACACAAAAGTCCAAGAAATTTTTAGGTCCTGTATGAACGAACCTTGTCTAACTATTACAGTGGTAAAACACAAGGTATCTCAAGAAAAAAGTTTACAAAATATTCCTAATATATATAATAATTCAAACAGAGCTTTAGATAATGATGACAGCTTAAAACGTTTACAATGTGCTAATTATAATGTATTACAGACGGCAAATACTCGTAAAATTGGTAAAATGATTGAAATTGAATTAAGAAAAGGGCCTAATAAAAGTGATGGATTAGGATTTAGTGTTACTACAAGAGATAATCCTATTGGTGGACATTGTCCAATTTACATAAAAAATATACTTCCAAAAGGTGCTGCTGTTGAAGATGGTAGGTTGAGACCAGGTGATCGCCTGCTTAAAGTAAATAATATAGAGGTGACAGGTAAAAGTCAGCCTGAAGTAGTAGATTTATTTAAAGCTATTCCACCAAGTGGCACAGTTCACTTGGTGGTGTCTAGGCAAGAGGAAGTATCTACAATTGTATCTGATTCATCAATTGGCCTTCCAATTGTGACTCCAGATACAGGAAATAATTGGAATCCTCAACACGAGTCACCGATAAAAAAAAAAGAAGAATCACCTGATAATTATGAAAAGTATAATTACAAAATGATACAAGTATCAGATGATCCAGCCCTTTCTCCAAAAAAGAATAGAGTTATTCTTACGCTAGACATTCCCGTCCATGATTCAGAAAAAGCTGGTTTAGGAGTGAGTGTTAAAGGCAAAACCAACACAAATGAGCATCCAAATGTTGACTTAGGAATTTTTATCAAAAGTGTCTTACATGGAGGTGCAGCTTCTAGGGATGGCAGATTGCGAACAAATGATCAGTTATTAAATGTTAATGGAGTATCATTGTTAAATCTATCAAATTCTGATGCTATGGAAACATTGAGAAGAGCCATGCTTAATACTAATAGTTCCATTACTGGAGTTATCACTTTAACAATAGCAAGAAGATTATCTTCCTATGAAAATTCATTAGATAAAAGTTTTTCAGAGCAACGCTCTTCACCTTCTGATAAGATAGATTCTCCAAATAATGTTTATATGATGAATTCAAACATAAAAAATGATGGAATAATAAAAGAAAAAAATAATTTGAACTCACAAACAGATATTCTGGATAAAAGTTTGCTTTCAGCATCAGCCTCACCATGGAATCCTGTAATCGATAGATTGACAGAACAGTATAACAAAAATAGTTTGAGAAACGAAAGTTATTGCCTTGCAACGAACAAAACGTGGATGGATCCGTCGAGTATTTCAAGAAAACTTAGTATTGGTCAACGAGATGATAATTTAGAATCAGTATTATTAGAAGACTCTAACGAAAATTCTCACTCTCACAATATCTACTCCGAGCCTAAACCGAAAGCTGTCGACGACAAGGATAGTCAGTATTCTGGGGATCCTACCTACGATAGTCAATTGTCTCTTGAAGAATTTAATTCACCGACAAATAAATTTTCTCGAGATGCCCTTGGCCGGCAAAGTATGTCGGAAAAAAGACACGCGGCTCTCGACGCTAAAAATACGGATACCTACAAGAGAAATAAAAAGCTTCGCGAGGGCAGGGACAACAACAATAAATCGACCGATGACCAGAAGAATCATAACAAGAAAGATTATAAAGATGGTTTTGAAACAATAAATAGCACCAAATCGTCCATCGGAGAGACTTCAAAACATTCCCAGCCCGAGTACTTATACACCATTCCAGGATGTGATAACAAGTTGATTTCTCCACGCAAGCATTGGTTGGTCGACGATGTTCACACTGGAGATGTCTCCAATAGCAGCAATAATAAAGAAGAGCAAGGATTCTCGAACAGTAGAGGGGACATCAAGCAGGCTTCGTTAAATTCTGCCTTGGATGATCGATATAAGAGATCACGAAAGAAGAGCGGAATTCGGTCGATGCTGCGTCTTGGTAAAAATAGAAAATCCTTGAATTTTGGAGATAATATCGAGAATCGACATGAAACTAGTAATTACTGTAGCGGGACGATTAATTATATAGCATAATACAAACGGAAATCGATCAATTTTCGAATATCTGTTTTCGAAGGCAATTAATGAAATTTCACTAATGTTCATGATAGTGCATTGAACATCTAACCACTTTCCATTATTTTATTTTTTTAATATAGTTGATGGTTAATGCACTATCAATTTGTAAGTTTTTTGTAAAAACCGTTCCAAAGTGCCTTATAAATGAAAAAAGGAATTATATCGGTAGATTTAATCAATTTTGTAAATATAATTTTGTATTTCATTTTCATGATTGTTAACGCGGTTAAACGACCGAATTTTGTACTTCATTTACGTATAATCTACTTTAGCATGAAGTCTAGAAAGTGACGTGAATTTCACAGTTAAAAAAAATATAAATTGCATATCATAGATTTTAGGCTTGTTTGAAATTGTAAATTAAAAACCAAATATTTTATAAGTAGATTATCAATGCGTATTAAAGGCCTTATGTTGGAAGAATTTTTGAAGTGGTATAGGTGAGAATGACATTTTAAAAAGTTAACAACTTACGTTCGTGTATACATCTAATATGTAATTTTTCGAATGTTACAGTGAGCCAACCAATTAGAACATCAGTTTACACTCTACAGAAACGATTTAAAGTCAATGTTCAAAAACCAAGACCTCCACACCACAGAAGAGGAATAGTGGAGAAATTTATAACGCCTTTCATTTCAAATCCGCATACATTTAAGCCTTGGAGCGAGAGATGCCAGAAAATCACAGAAAATAAAGAAAAGGCCCAAAAAAAGGTTAATCCCTACGATGTAATAATTGCAAGAGAATGTTTGAATTGGTTTAAAAGCTCAAACATGGTCGGCTTTTTCCACGTGAATTCTATTACCGGGGAGGATCAGTTCAACTTTGCTGTCCAATTGAAAAAAGCAAATATGTATCTGAAAGGTTATCAGACATCGATATTAGATTTAGCTTTAAAAGACACAATTTATGAACCGACGTTGTGCTTGCTCCAAAGGATGAATCGCATTAATCTCTTCGTTTTCAGCCAAGAAACAGATGCTGAGAAACTATTTAAAATTTCAAAGAAGACGTCGCAAGTTGTATTGATTGGTAAGCTTCTCTTATTAAAAAAACATTGAATCTATATTGATATTATTTGATTGGATAGGCTGTTGTTTTATTTTTTTATTGAAACTATTAAAAAAATCTTTTGCAGCTGGTATACTTAATGGAAAGCTGTTACACCGTAATGAGTTTTTGGAGATGGGAAAATTGGATCTTCTGACTTCACAAGCTGGTCTTGTCCAAGTTTTGAGAATAGCCGCTGGAGGAAATCTTAATCGACAGCTAACGCATCATCAGTCTACTTTGGTTACCCGGTTAAAACAAATAGGTACAAAAGAAGATAAGCCCTGTGATGTGAAAGAATAATTGACGGTGCCTATAAGTTTTTTCTAACCATATCGATAATTTATTACGCGTTATAGGTTTACATAAAGCTTTATTACGTAAACTGCGACTAGAATCCTTTGTATAAGAATATAAATAAGAATATTAATTAAATTTGAAATTAGTTTTCTTATATTATTATTATCACTCAGTAACTTCCTTCGGTTCTACCCTCGATTAAAATTCAACGAACGCTTCTTTAATTAATCGCATTGCAAGAATCTATACATCTTTCTTTTTCTCGTACAGATAAAAGCTGTTTTACGATACAGTCATTGACACCTCGTCAATGACAATAATTACATTTCGGGTGACATTTAACTCCATTTTCTCCACATTTACATCCTCCTGAAGTATCACCTTTACCCTGTAAACACAGATTGCTTGATTCTTTTGTCCTTGTGAAATAAAATTTAATATAAAGAAAGCATTAAATGTACCCCAGGTCCCCAACGCGGTCCTCTCGTCACCCAGCAAATTTCTGTTTTACACATAGAACAACGAAGCCAATCGCAGCCCCACTTCTTCATTAGAACAACAGCACAAGTCGGGCATGATAAGGCTTCACCGCGGCAAACCATTTCTTCGAGCATCGCCGCTGTTCTTTTGGATTCGTGATCAGTTTCCTTGGAATACTTCAATTCTTCTTGATATTGACGGCAATTTCTACCCATGTGGGCAGCCTGCGAAAGTTTATTTTTAAATTTAAAATATTCAAAAATCATTTATTCAATATTTCGGAAAGCTATCTTTATGCTTCACTCTAAAAAAAGTTATTGATTATATTTTTGAACTCTTCTCTGAGAAAATTTAAAAGTCAACAAATTTCAAAATAGAAACATTTTTGATAAATATTTATAAATTCTCTTTAATGTTATTCGGGGACTTTAATTACATATGTATAAATAATTTTTATTTGTAAAAAACTTATTCTAAAGACCCGAAGGTTTACAAGGTCGACCCACCTGACAGGTAAGACAATTATTAACTTTGCAGACCGGGCACAAAAAATTGTTGACGTCGTCGTCGTAAATGCACCAGCCCGGACAGTCGGGAGTCTTACAGTGAAAGGCGTTGTTGCCGGCGCTATTTTCCGCTTGCGCTATCGATTTGGCTAGATGTTGCTGATACACTTCTGCACTGACGAGCTGTAAACATTTTTCATCACTCTTCGTTCAATATCTAAGTATAGGTTTTCCCAAAAAGCCTTACAGCTTTAATCTCGCGTTCCTGCAGCGTCGACTCGCACGTGTAGTCAGCATCTCTGTATGGACATTTTACCTCTGCATCCTCGCAATAGCGCACAACGTTGATCACGCAATCCCTGATATTATTTGTTGGCACATTTAATAACGAGTTATAGGTTGAATTTTACATTCGATAGTAACAATTGAATACCTGCAAAACGTATGTAGACAATCGCGTAATGTCACACCCTCTCCGGGAACAGTAATCATCAAACACACTGGACACTCGATTGGTTCGGCAGTTATAATAACATCACAGTTTTCAAGTGACATCAGCTCTTCATAGCGCTTGAGTTTCTCATCCCTTGGCAGCGAGTCTTCATTTGGCTGCAACAGAAGTACAGGAAAATTGGAATAAGCGTTGTGCTTTTGAAAAGTAAAGTGGTAACTACAGTATAAGCAACGAAAAGGAAATAAAGCCAAAAAGGCGTTTATCGCATCAAATGGCACCGAGTAACAAGCTAATTAAACTTGTAAAGTCGTGCATGTGACTGAAAAAAGGGTTTCGGTCACATGCACGTGATCGCGTTAACGTTAACATCTTTCCTCTGTCTCTCTCTGCCCCCCCCTCTCTCTCTCTTTCTCTCTCTCTTTCCGGCGACATTGTAATTTATTTCATTGTACCTGACGAGGTAGCGGCTCAGCAGCACTAGCTTCTGCGGTGGCGGCGGCGGCGGCAGCAGCAGCAGCAACAGTCTCGGGCTTAATTTCCGCCTTTATCTCGCGCTCGTCATTCTTTTCGTTTATTACGCGCCCCGCTTGTTTCTCGCGCTCTTTATCCTCCTTAATCGTCTCTTTATCCTGCAAATCTAAAAGTAATTTATGCAGTAGCTGCTCGTTGTCCATTTCGCGCTTCCTCTCTCTCTCTCTCTCTCTCTCTCTCTCTCTCTCTTCGGCACTGCTTTGTGATTTTATTGTCGTACCCGGTGGCGCCACGAGATACAGGAATACCGCAGATCCCTCGGCTGCTTGCAAATCCCGTAGTGTTACGTCATCGTCGTCGGCGAGATTCTTGCCGATGATCCAGCGCTGCACGTTGGCCGGGATCTCAAACTCCAGCTGTATTTTGGCTTTCAGCTGCGCCACCGTCATGTTGGCTGGAAGCTATTTTTGAATTGTCGCATTTAGTTATCAGCCAGGGCGATCTTTTCGGCTGAAAACTTGATATACCTGCAAGGGGATGGGACCCTGGTGAGCTTGCTTGTCTTCGATGTACATGCTGAGCTTGAGCTTTTCCTTGGCGTCGCAAGATCGTTGTCTCACCACCGAGCAGTGTATCTTCAACTGGGCTAACTCTTTAGCCAGCACTGCCGCTTGCTGATGATTTCCCGACGCGATAGCTGCTTCTAGTTTCCTCAGCAATCGGTTTACAGCCAGCGTGTTCATGCAGTGCTCCTTGATCTCCTCAAAACTCTTATCTTTTGTCGCGAAAACAGACAAATACCAATGAAAAATTCTCTTTCCGCTGTATCTTGCTAACGCACACGAACCGATCTTCTTGCTAAGTACATAACGTTAATTAACAATTCAAAATAATTCGCTCTAATTCTATTTGCCGCCTTATTTGCAAAGCAACTGAATTTCACGTAGAATTTACGAGTGCGTAAATGTAAATCAATCTAAATGAATCTCTGGAAGAAAAAAAAGGGAGACGATGGCGAAAAAGAACAAGCGAGTTGAAAACTTTGACAAATGACTTTAGCGGAAAAAGTTTTCACTTGAACGGGAGATAATCCGCTTGGCGAAAAGTGAATTTCATGGAATTAAAAAATCCTCACCATCGTGCCTTTTATCGGGCCTCTCGGCCACTGCCGCGGCGGTGCTGGCTGTGTCCGCGGCCAGCGGCGTCGGCGCGTTATCTGCCAGTCGTAAATCAATCTTCACTCGCGGCTGCTCCCGGGCATTAACGTTGGCGTAGGTATTCCCGCCAGGCTTGACGACGATCCTGCGCACGTTTCCGCTCGTCTGCACGCCCGAGGACACTTTTGCGGAGGAGGCCTTGCCACCGGCGCTGGCTGCATTACCGCTGGTCGACGGTCTGTTAATGCGCGGCTTCGCGCTCTCCTTGCCCGCTTCCGCTTTCGCTCCCGGGCGCTGCTTCGGCAGAGAATGCTTCATTTCCTTGAGCATCTCCTTTAGATCGTTGGTCGTCTTGTCGTCGACGCCACTTATACGTGCGACGCCCGTCTTTGGCTCTTCTTTTTTTGCCACGTCTTCCGAGCAAGTCTTTGTCTTCGTCGACGCTGAAGAGACATTATTGTCGTCTTTTTTCACGTTCGCCGTTCCCTCGGCACTGTCGGACGGGGAGGCGCCGCTGCTGCCGTGATTATTTATAACGCTGACCGCGACGCTGCTGTTCCTAGGTCTCAGCTGGCGGTCGATCTCGTCGAAGATTTTGCTAAACTCTTTGTCGAAGTTCGCCAGCTGTTGATCGCTGGCGGGACTCGGTTTCTTCGTTGACTCGTCTTTCGGCTTGGCCGCATTTTCGAGCAATTTCGGTCTGTCATCGAGCTCGCGTCGCAGTCGCGCTATCCCCGTGGCCACGTCGTCCAGTTCTTTGGCCAGTGTCTCGGCGAAGTCGCTGTTGTCATCCGATGCTCGAGTCACCTTCCCCAACTGGGCTGCAGACGAATTCCTCTTTCCAGGGTTGATAACTTCCGCGAACAGCGTTGCCGATTCCATCTTTGGCGGTGGAGGTCTTTTTGCAGGGAAGAACCGGGATAAATCTCGTTCCGCTTCGTCGACGCGTCGATTGTAGCGTCTAGCGTTGGGCGACGCACTGCCCTGTCTCGAGAAGAAGTTGGAGTGGACGCCGAATCTCGGAATGTTGCCCAAACCATTGAATTTTCCGATGAGGGTTCCGGCGCTTCTTCTCGGCGACTTCTCCAACGACGAGTTGACGATCTCTTGGACGATCTTCTCGTTGGCAGCCATGCGTTTCTCGAATTCCTCTCGCTCGAGTTTAGCGGCTTGTAGAATAGTCGAGGTGCGGTTCCTCGCCTGCTCTTCTTGCACAATGGCAGCGGCCTCTTTGTCCAGCTCGCTAATGTTGGTGAGTATCGAGACGCCGGACTTACGTTTGCTGTCTTTCTTCTTGTCGTCGCCGTGGTGCCTGAAGAAGCCCAGCCTGGAGAGCGAGCCCTCGAAAGGGAAGGACGTCGGATGCGAGAGCGTAGGCGAACTGGAGTTCGAGGACAGGTTGTCGTCTCTCGTCTCCGCGACGACGACCTGGGCTGCGGAGAAGTTGCGGAGTAGGTCGTCGTTGGTCGTCCTTCTGGCGGTCGACCGCTCCCTAGAGCCGTGGTCGCCGAACACGTTGCGCTTGTACCAGGGTCGCGGCGTCATGCCTCCCAACTTGGGGGTCAGCACGGCACTGTTGCTGTCGGAGTCGCAGAGAGAGGCGCTGGCCGAGCGATCGGGCGAGCAGTTGGCGTCGGCCTTGGCGTGCAGCACGCCCCTGCGCAACACGAGCGTGTCGTTGCTGAGATCCTTGCCGGGGGCGGTCAGCGCCGAGTCCATGCCCGAGGCGGACGCCTCCGAGGAGAGAGTGTCGGTGTGTCCGGGCGGCTTGGGCGCCGGCCTCCGCTTGCGTCTGGCTTGGTTCGCGCCGCCGGCCGCATTGGCCCCGAGCGCACGCTCGACTGGCGGCTCGGGCGCCCGGCGCTTGCCTTTCACGTGGACTCTCCGCGAGCCCGAGGTCGACGAGTCGAGTGACGTCAAGGTGTCGTTGTTGCCACTGCCGGCGGCGTCCGTCGGCGCCCCGCCGCGCGCATTCCTCGGCCCGTCGAGGATGCCCCGGGGCCTGGGCAGGTTGTCGTAGGAAACGAAGGCGTGGGCCGGGTGGAGCGCGTACCTAGTCCGCAGGTCCCGCGCCTGCGTGAATCCGCTGGGCAGGGTGCAGGTGGTGGCGGCGGCGGCCTCGACTCGGCCGCTGGCCGCGAGCTTCACCGCACCGGGCGCGAACGGCCCGACCGCGGCGCTCTGCAGTCGGAGAGCGGCATCGACGGCTTGCTTGCGCGCACCGCTGTGGAAGGCGAAGCTGCGAACGGTGGCGGTGCTGTAGAGGCTGTCGAGGCTGCAGGCGCTGTCGCTGCTGGAGCTAGACGCCCGCGGCCGGCGCTTAGCGGACTTGCCGGGTTCGCGACGACGCGGGCGGAACCACCTGAGCAGCGAGAAGCGCCGGTGGCGCGACCCATTTGGCGACTGGGAGTGCGACTGAGGTAAGCCAGTCGCTGCGTTCGTGTGCTCCACCATTCCGCTCACTCGCACACATAGCCGGCCGGAGCAGGCGATGCACTTGTCTGCCGCGGCCGGAAGCTTTATTTAGAAACCCCTACAGGCGAACGGGCCGCGCGTTGCTTGCTTCCACTTCCAGAATCGTGAGCATAGCCGCGCTCGGTCGTCCAAATGCTTGCTCGGCCAACTTTTCCCTTTTGTTCCCGAGCCACACCTGATTTAGAGCACCGACACTGTTGGCACTGTTCGGTCGGGTTCACACACTACGGGGCCGACGATGGACGGCGGGCTTGTCGGGTGATCCTCTTTGCCGCGACCGCCGGCTCACATGTTGTCACGGGCGCCAGTGCAAATAAACTAACTCGGATTTCCACGAGGAGCAGCCAACGGCGCAGCTTTCCCTAAAGCTCGCTTCTCTCGTTCGCTCTCGTTCTCTGGCCTGCCGTGGATCGCGCGGGTGCGCGACAGAGACACCACGCGAGTCGGCGCTATTAATAGGCTCGCGACGCTCTCGCTCTCTCTCTTTCTCGGTCGCAGTTATTTTCAAATCCACACGCGCGCGCTCGAGATGACGAGTGGAAGAAGGAGACCACGACAGTCGGCGGGGCAAGCGGATGGCGAGATTTTCCGAGATGCCGCGCGGAATAGTAGGCCGAAAACCTACCGCAGCTCCGTTGGCTGCGCAATTGAGAGTGAATCGGTGCGCGCTCGAGCCACGGCCAAACGAGGCGCGATCGACCGCAGTGGTGATCGTTCTTTTTCCTTAGCTAGTCGGCCCGCTTAAAATAAAGCGGGTTATTTTCAATTGGACGATTCGCGTTTGGCGTTTTCCTTTCGTTGCCTCCCCGCGCCGCCTCTGCCGCGCCGCCGTTCAAAGTCACGGTCTCGCGGCGACGTTTGTTTAGTACCAAATGCCAAATAATCGGCTGTCGACGTATCCTTCAATCGAATCAGCTTCTCGATATTTTTTAAGCCGCTTTCTCGCGAGCAGCACAAGAGTCGGAAGAGGAAACTCGTTAAAATGAAATGGTCTAAAAGAGCTCGCTATCGCTACGCGACACGACAGCTCAATCCCGCGGCAGCGCGAAAAGAAAAAGCGACGACCGAGAGAGGGAGAGAAGAGCAGCACCAGAGAGTCGTCTTTGAGTCACTTTGCCTAAAAATACGTAGCTGCGAAAGAGAGCAAAGCCTTTGGAATGTTTAGCGCGTGGGCGGGCAAATAAACACCTTACGCCTACTTGGCGCGTTTATCGCCGGCTCCGCGGGCTTTTAATAGGAAAAATTTTCCCGGAGTCGAGCTACGCGAGATAACGCCGGCCGTCGCCTGGCCAGAGGGAGCAGCAGCAGCTCGCCCAAGCCAACCGAGCCATTGCGACCGCCTGCTTGACGGCCCGTAAAACGAAGAAGACGAGGAGATTTTAATTAAAGAGCCCGATAAGCCGGATTCCCGAGCGTAAAGAACGAATAGATTATCCGAAAGAGTTTTTTAAGCGCGCACTCACCCGAGCGCGCTCGGATAAACAAACGTTTCGCGCGCACTTTCGGAAATCGCTCTCCGCGCAGGCGCGCGCGCGCAAGCTCGGCTCATGATTTAATTATAGTCACGATTTGTTCGAGTGTGCGTGCAAACAAACGCAATTATGTGAAATGTTATTATAATTGCAGTGTGCCGCGAAAATTAGGTTGCTCTAGGCATTTGCCGACTGAGTACACTTAAATGCCAAACAATTGGAACGTTATTAACCGGGTAGAGCCGCTTTGTGGAGCAGAGACGTCGGTGCTGCACAAATAAGCTCCATAAAGTCGTATATCCTCGTCAAGACTCGACTACTCTTGTATTTCAAAATCAGCCTGGCGTGCGTTTTTAATTGCTCGTTTTCGAGCCTCGGCAAACTTAACTGCCACTCAAACTCCAGCCAGCGGCTTCCGCACTTTTTGTTTCGACGAGTGCGTGTAAAGCTTCATTCCCGCGCAACTTGCCGATGGCGTTAATTCGAGGATTAAACTTGGCGCGGCCGCGGAAAGATGAGCGTGTCACCTCGCACTCTCGCGGTACGGCGAAGATTGAGTCGCGTTATGTCGATTTATGGCTCGTAAAAAGAGATTTGCTACGGGCGCGAGCGATCTTAACTTTAACGCGGTTTATTTTCAAAAATTATTCCCTGCTCAGCTCGTATTTCCCATTGTTCAGTTCGCTCGCCGAATACGCGTCTATTATTATTGAAACAGATTACATTTTTCTTGTCTTTTTATTGCTTTGCTTGATTGTCAAGCATGATCCATTGTCTGCTATTATACACATTTTTCAAAGGTTCGCTTTCCGATGAAGAGCGTGGGCAGGCCGGCAGGCGTCCAGTCAGGCACGAAATTGAAGTGGAGAGGATCGGAAAGAAGATTGGAATGAACGGAGCACTGAACGAAGAAATGAAAATATGCATCCTCTCTCATTCGCTATTTGTCTGTAGATATTACTTCGACGATGTACTTTGCCTGCTTGACCACTGCGCTTTTGCGAAGATCGAGTCCGCTCCGTCGCTCGCTTTTCTCCATTGTTCCGACTGAAAACATTGCTACCGTTTATGAGCAGTCGGCCCTCCTTTTCTGAACCGCCATTCGAGCTCACGTTCACTCGAGATGCCTTCTTTGGAAAATTAGAACCTCGTTCAAGCGCTTCTTACTTACTTGCTTTTTAGTCAAAAGTAAGCCATCTTTTAGTCTTAATAGTATCCATCAGCGGGGATTTAGACGGTCACCTATAGGTTTCGGAGGGAAATTCATCACCGACTCAAGCGCCTTAAGACTTAGCAGTTCATCATGCGGCTCCTTATCTTTCGTAACGGGAATAAAGCTCGGCCAGAAAAAAGCACTCGCCCGAGGCGAGGCGACTATCGAGAAGGGGGGGGGCGTCAACTCTATCCAAAAGGTAGTCCCATCGCGCGTCTTGAATACAAATCACGGCGTTTCCTTTCGCGTCCCCCTGCCATCCCTGCACCAGCTGCATCATTACCATTAACGAAGACGCAGAGAGACGCACATACATTCTCACGCGGTATGAATATCTCAGCCAATGGCCTCCGAACTTTCTTTGGACCGTAACTTGTAATTTAAGTCGCAGGCGCGCGACCCACGGATTTGGCATGTCGACATATCTCCTCTTGCATGATTCATATCAGCCCTATTCTCGCAAGATTGCGATGTGTTATCGAGGCTACAAATTCGCGTGGCGAATCTATTACGCAAAAGAATGGAATCGTGAATCGATCTCAGCAGTTATAAATATTCATCGGTGTACTTAATAGCGTAAGACTTGATTTTATCAAAGAAAGCATTCGCATATTGCAACCTATACTTGAAAATAGATTAGCTGGTACGTGCACTATTAAAGTTTGAATAAATCGTAGACAGAGTTATTCTAAAATGGTCGTCGCTAAACAATGATTCGCAAGCGAGATAAATTTGCATAGTCATTGAATATCGAGTCGAACCGTTAACCAGAATACTCGATAGCGTATTTTTCTGCTGATTCCCTCGGCGGAATCAGCCGATGCAAGCCAAACTTTAGTCAAGCTGCCAGCGGTCGAATAAGGAGGTCTCCCCTTTCACCCTCCGCCGCGTCGGTGGATGTAGGTACGCAAATGAAAGGCAATTTTGCGCCTATCCGCACCTTTGGCTCCCACGAGAGGGCACGTCTGCGGATGCGGCCCAGAAACGAACCGAGAGCATGTTTAATTCATTATAGCGAGGCTGCGAGCGCGTTTAGTCGGACCTTCTTCTTCTCTTTATCAGCGGTGGTGGCGGCGTGTGCCCGGCCTTCTGGGCGGATCTTCTTATTTCGAGCTCCTCTCTTTCTTTCCTGCTTCTTCTTTTTTTCTTTATACTCCATTGCTGCTGCTGCTGCTGTGCCGCTCCAGGGCAAATAGTGCTCGCGCTCGCGGCCACGGCCCCTTTCCTCCCCCCGTTTTTTGCAAGTTAACCGCGTTACTTTTCTTCCTCGGCTCTTTTCAGCTCGCGCAAAGCTCGTTCTTTGTGCCTTGAGACCCGCCACTGTTATTATAGTCTTTCGCATTTACATTTGTAGCCTTTAGTACCGCTTATTATTTCTCCTTTTTTTTCGCTTTTTTTTCCTTCGCCGACACGCAAGAATTTCAGATAAACGTCGTAATTTACGACGATACATTCGCATTCATCGCCGCAAAGGCTTAAAACGAACTAATGACCTTGACCGTTTTGTGTAAATATTGAAACAACATGTCTTGATGAAATAAATCAGCGCGTGGACAAAGTCTTGCGAATTCTTTGATGTACGCTCGATGCACAAGCATTTTCACCGATGTCACAATTTTATTATCCAGCCATTTTGTAACAACGAAAAGGCAGGAACAATGGAAAGGCAACTTTATGAAAGATAAAATATAACGTTCAGAAGGCTCACAGTGCTTTTGTATAATTGTCCATTGAAAGTAACTTTAACGTCAAACGCATTCCGGCATTCATTTTTCACCTATATTCCAGTGCGGTTAGTATATTCGGTGACTCGTAGATTTATGCTATCGTTGCCGTGTCTCGCATCCAAATGTCGAATGCCTTTTTCTCTATAGAAAGCCGGAAACAATGGACTGGGCCTAGCACAAACGTTGCCTTTCAGCAACAACAGTTTCATCCGATATAATTACAGCTCTTTCTTTTATCGATCCTTTCGAGACGATACAGTGCACGTATATTTTAGCAGCCAGTTTTTTTTGTACAAATCGCATGATTTTTTTATCGAAATTTTGTGGAGGAAAAAGGACGTGAAGACAGGTTATTAAATTAAATTAACCGAAGTTAGTTTATTACTCATTTTGCGAGCACAAGGGTGAGTATACGATACCTCGGGTAAATTAAATAACGATGCCCCAGGAGAAAAGGCAAGAGACGGAAAATAAGAGGGAGAAATCAAAAACAACAACGGCGATAGCAACGCGGCCAGTAGCAGGACGAGGAAGGAAGAGAAAAATCAGATGATGAAAAAAGCGCCACCACGCGAGGGACACTGGGTTATTTATTGCTCGACGAGAACAGTCAAAGGCTTTTACGTTCCATACGTGAGCTCTTGAAATTTCGAGACTGCTATCCCGTTAAAAACAATGTAAAAAGGCCTTTATTTAGTGCCACTGTGCGCTCAGTAATAAAAACTAGCCAACGAGAAAGGGAGGGGCGAGGCAGTTTGTTCGCTAACTTTTTTTTTTCTCTATCCAGCTGACACCTCCCCCCAAGCCGCTCTTGGCCAACCGCAAATCCCCAATTCCCACGAGTGCTAAACAATCGAGTCGCTTGCGTCTAAAAGTACACACGGATCAGTGTCAAGAAGTTTTAACAAACGGGATACATTAGCTTCCCTCGGACAATGCAGAGAGAATTCAGTGGCTTCGTTTCATCCAAGGATCGAAGAACCTCCGCATGGACCATATTTAAAAAGAGCCGTGGCAAGTTTTCAGAGATTACAGTTGTCTCAGTAGTAAAGATCACGCTTCGGGTTGCCAACCGGATTCCATTGGAGGAACTTTCTGTTTGTTTAATGCAATACCATCATTGCACTGCTCTGCCGGCTCTTCTAATTTTTACTTTACAACGTAAAGCAATCATATTAAATGAATTTCCTCTCGCT